TATTTTCTTATTGAATGATTCAGACTAACTTATGGATCCTCTGTTTTACGATGATTTGGAATATGGTTCTTCATTGCTTCAACCACCGATCGCCAAAAATGATCTTTATGCAACATTGAATGGAAAATTGCATGGGACAGGGAAAGATGATAAGGAGCGAAATTTGAATGGAAGTGGACAAAGCGGTATTTTGAAGAATAATGATTACATTAAATATGATGACTATTACACACCCACTACTGTGCAATATCGATGTAATCATATGGATCATAAGGTTTGTTCATGTTCTTTCATGAACAGTAGCGAATAAAATGGCGCAATTGTCCTACTGAAAGCTTTTTGAAGAATACAAAGGAAAAAGGAACTGTTCAGGAAAATTAAATCAACAAAGCGGTGAATTTCAAATATGACGTCGAAGATGAAAATTGAAAGGATTTCCTGAATTGCAGTAGGACAAACTTGCTATATCATATCTTTTCTATCTGTTGCATTTTTTTATTTTTAAAAAATTACTGTTACACTGTTAACAATAACTTATAATTACAACTTTTCTGTCAATAATAGTTTCAATTTCGCATTAATTAGTACAAATTTGCAGCCAAACTGTTTCAATCGCATAATTCGTCCATGTGCAGCAGAATTTATTGCTGTCTTCTTATGTATTTTTATTGGAAAAGTGATGGAAAATGAGTTAGCTATCCATGTCATATCGTCCAATACTGAACGAATCATTCTACAAGCGCTCACTGATTCAGTGGTTATGTTTGCAATGGTTATGGCTTTTCAAACGTAAATTTTTCCAGTAATTTGAATTTTTTAAGGCTTGAAAATTGGTCCGTAAAAAAAATTTTTTTTCCTTACCAGTTGGTTTTTATTATCTTTGAAAAAATTAATTAAGTATAATATTAAATAATTAAAAGTAAAACAAAAGACACAAATTTGTAAGGATTATTTGTCTTTTTTTGCTTTTTCATTTTTTCTTGACGCAGTTAGACTTTATTTTTCAGTGAAAAGCTAAAAATTTGCTTCAAAGAATTTCAAATTTTGGTCTTTCATTTTTGTAAACTAATTTCGTTTTCTGATAGATTAAAAAGTCAGAAAAATTGCCATTTGTTTTGCTATTCATCAATTTTCTTAGTGGTTAAATTAAAATTCCCTATGGCTTGAATAAACAAATAATATGCCAAAAAGATAAATGACCTTTTTGGAAAAGTTTCTGTAAATCTTTGGTGGGACCGAAAAGGTATGTAAGGATGTAGCTCTTGATTTGAAAAAACAAGAAAAAATTGATCGTTTGTAGACTTTTTTCACCTATTTATCACATCTTTGTTATACACACCAACATTTGCTACCATTATGCAAACTTATCACAGCATGAAGATCTGTAAGTAAGTTGACAATTCAAGAAAAAAAATTTGACCTAAAAAAACTAGTATCAATGTGAGCCTAAACCTAAAAAATAGAAAAAAAGAACAGAAAAAAGAATTAAAGCAGGGAATTATTATAGACAAAGGTAAAAAATAACAAAATCTTTCAGTGTCTTTTTCATGAAATCGATTATAAATTGAGTATGAACAAAATTATTGCATTTAAACAATTTTTCTGTCCAACGATCATTCATTTGCAGTGTACATTTGAATCCGGTGATTACTTTGGCTGAATTCTTTGCCCTTACTACTGCTTGGCCAATGTGCTGCGCTATGATCATTATGCAGATGCTTGCATCTATAACTGCCATTGCTGGTTTTGCGGTAATTAATAACTAATTACTTTATCTTGCTATTAATTATAATAACTCAACCAAAATATTCCCTGTACTAACAATTTTCTTGTAGCTACTTCGATCTGGTGATTCGGAATTGCAAATGCCTACAATCATACCTGATATTACTGTTGATCGTATCAGTGCTGCATACCATTTAGTAAGCATCACGTTTAAATTGTTGATTAGTATAGATTATTTAGACACAACAACTATTTAATGTTGCAATAGTTGACTTGTTATCCTCATTTTGTAACCTGGAATAATTTTAATTCTGGTTTTTTCATTTCCAAAACATTAAAGGAAGTTGACACATCATAAGTTGGATTCTATTGTTATATTTTCACTCCGAAAAACACATTAAAGCAAATGAAAGAAGAATTATTCCCCTATTCTTTTGAACAATGTTCAAATAATTCAAAAAGTCCTTACGAAAAAAAATCTTTCTTTAGCATCTGGAAATTATGAAGCAGCAATCATAACAATAGTTATTTGCATAAATGGTAATTTGCAGGTCCTTTCTCAATTTATCGGTACTTTGTTAGTTATCATTACTCATCTTCTCATAACTACAAGAACAGGTTCCGGATTAACAGCCTTGGCACGACCTGCTGACACTCCCGTCTCTGTTGTTGCCGCTGTGTTTGTTTCATCACTATTATGGTTTGTAAAATAAAAACTACTGATTCTGTAGCTGTTGAAACAGTTCCTAGTTTATCTCTCTTTTAGAAGGGAAATAAAAAAAAATAAGATTAGTGAAAACGAAAGAATGAACACATTATTAAGCTTGCTCGGAACAAAATCTCTGTGCTGTTCTAATTCACAAAAGAAAAAAGAATGGAGTTAATAAATTTTTGATTAAATCAACTCATACATTATTCTTATTCCACAACGCTCATTCATTTATAGTTTATTGAATTCAACCATCGGATGGAATCCTTTACTTGCATTTGCATTATCGAGTTATGGCAGCATTAGTTGCAATTTCGGACTTCTGCAAATGCAAGGAATATTCTGGATTGGACCTTGTTTGGCTTCTCTTTTTGCATGCTTCCTGTATAGGTTCGTTAACATCTTTTTTTCTCAATTATGCAAAAAACCTACAAATTTATGCATCATGTATGATTATGTATAAATTTCAAAACGTTTATCTTTCTAATTATTCGTCATCTGATTTCATCAGTATCAAAAATTTACTTTTTTTGCGAAGAATTGTGCTTTAAAAGGAGAAGTTTTACAACGCTATCCAAAAATCAGTTTTAATTGCTGTATGAAAGATTATGTCAAATGAGAATGGAGCAAGCATCGTTTCATTTGACATATCCGTTTCTTCAACTGGTTTCAGATTACTGTTCGCAACTAAACAATCTCGTTTAATAAAGTGCACTGCGTGGAATGAAAGTGATCATTTATAGCCGTTGTCTTGAAAACAGTTTATTCATTCATCATCTGTTTTTTATGAATATTTATCAATTGCTTTAATTATTAATTTTGGAAACAATTTCTATTCATTTGGAATATGGATAAAAAATAAAGCAGTTGAAATAAATTGTTTCAGCAAAATTTGTTTTCAGTTCGGTTTTACAAATTCATGTCAAATTTAATCAGAACAGTACACTTCAATCAAATTCAACACAGTTCCGTTTAATTCAGATGAATAAAACCATTCGATGCTTGACCGTTACTGCTACTCACTTGTTTAACTCTAATAATAATCACTCATTTTCACAAAGAAGCATAACAAGCTTATCTTTCTCAACTCCGAAATTTAGCCTTATTAACGCCAACAATTGGTCCTACTTCTGTATGACAGGTCCTAAGTTCAAAATAAAATGTGAAACTTCAAGAACACAATCAATTCTCCTTTTTTCCCTCTCTCTCGCAATATCTAAAATTGAAGGGATGACACTAAATTGTAATTAGGCCTTTTCATGCAGGCTTACAGAGACAATAATAAAGACCAACGGCTACCTTCCAATTTCAGATAAAAAATTGGTTAAACAGAGGATTAAATAAGAGAAAGTTATCAATTACTCTGGTCATCAACTCTCTACTATCACAACTCTGATCGCTCTCTATCTCCTCGATTACAATATTTCTTTTACTCTCAATCGCTGGCCCACTGAAAACATTGCATCTCTGCAGGAATTCTCTCAGTCTCTAAAAGCACACTGCCTTGCAAGCTTTCCATGCGATCAATTGTGCAAAGCTGCAACCGATGCGATGGGTCTCGTTAGGATACTATCATGTACTGCGGGATGTTTTCTACTCACCAAGACGGTTTATTCGAAGCGATTTCCAAACTTTATTACTCTTACATACATTACTGTTTTGTAGTTGGACGTGTTATTTATCAGTTCTACCATCTGCCAATTTTAGTTTGATAATCCAGAATTTAAATGTTGTGATCGTTGGAAGTACTCGTGATTGTTAAATCAGTAAAGGACAGAAAATTAAAAGCAATTCTTGAAGTAGAAAGAACAGTGACTATCCTGTTATCTGCAGCAGAATTTAGAGTAAGTTAGATAATCAGCATGAAATCATCCGCCATGTATCAGGAAGAGTAAGGAGCAAAGTACATATTGTTATCGGAGATAGCTATAGGAAATATTGAAATTTATTAATTGAAAGCAAAAATCGCTCAGAAATTGTGTGGAGGATATGTTCAATTAGTTATTTTTATTAAAACTCGCATACCAAATGTTCAGAGGACGGAAAAGAATTACATATATGGTATCTGTAGGGACTGACTCAGTTATGCTAAAGAATTAGTGCAGCTGAACTATATAGCATTACCTCATAACTGTGGAAATATAGGATGCAGCAGAAAATAATAATCTCATAGTACTAAAAAAATTATCATAATGTTTGTGTGTATATGTGTATGTGAATGTAATTTCAAAAGCAACCGTGTCTATTGCATTTATTGGTTTTCCACCATTCGAATGTCCACTGAAAAGGTACATCAATAGTTTGAGGATTTTCTGAAGTGATCAAATGATGTTTATGCTAACAGAAGTTGTGTTTATGAAGTGGAGATCAGTAGATTTTTCTTGTGCATAATTTGAAGATTTTGATCTTTAAAGAGTTCATGATACAATTTGCAGGCTGTTAGTTTCCTCTCAACATTAGAAGTATCCTTTGCTCTGATACACTGAGCTACACTTACCGAAATACAATGTCTGTGAATGATTTGATTGGTCTTTCACTCGACGAAATTATTGCACGCGGTGGCCCAAAATTTCGCACAAGCCGACGTCCGGGTACTGCTAGACGTGAAGGTGGCGTACGGGGTTTTCGTGGTGGCATCCGCCGAATTCCTGTAGTTACCAGTCGGGTAAATGTTTTATGGTTTTATTTGCTATATTTATTTTACAGATTTGATTTATATTGTTTTTGTGTATAAGTACTTTAATACAGATTTGCTTGGTTATTTTCCGCCATGTTAGGAGTTTTTGTATTTTCAGCGTCCAAAAGGGAATTTTCGTCTGAATAATCTCAAACGTGATATCAACATGTGCATTGTGAACATTTCAAATCTTGGACCAATGGTCACTACGACAGATTTACAGGTAGTATGAAAAGTTCTTAATTACTTGTTTATTTTTTGTAAGGTGAAATAAATGACCTTTTTGGTTGCTAAAAATAAATATTATGTGTTACTGTTGGTGTAATAAATTTCTTGTTTTTAAAAAATTGGGATTTCTTCGCATTTTGTTTCAGGAACTGTTTGCAGAGCATCCTTACGAGGACGTCGCTGTGCAATATGAACCAGATGGTAGCCCGTCTGGAACTGCTGTTGTAATATTCAAGAGATTCGAGGATGGTATGAAATTGAAAAGGCAATTTACTGGAGTAAGACTAGATGGTAAGTGGTAGCACTAATTTTTCCTGGGATCAAGATTATTTCAGTAGTATTCTGCTCTCTCTGTGGTGGTATTGTACACGTTTTCGTTCAAATTACTGTATTCTGAAATAATGCAGTCTTGATTTGGCCGGTTCTTGACTCAATGATGAATATCTGTTACTCGTTTTCACTTAATTTTTTTTAAAAATAGTATTGACATGACTGACTGTCATGATTCTAGAATTGTTTATCGGCATATATGTTGCATATATGCCGATAAACAACAAGGTTTTCGACTGTTGTGTAATCAGAGATAATGTAGTTAACATTCTTAAATCCTGATTGATATCTTACAACTGTGCCTTTTCTGCAGAGTAGTTTGGTTCTTTTTAATTTACATGCAGATCAACAGCGGCGAGAAATTCAGCAGAAAAACCACTTTTTAAAGTGAAATTCTAAATGAAGACCATCAGTAGTTATGTTTTATTTGTTTAATGATTCGAGTGTTCAGGAAAAGCAATGGATTTATTCGTATTAACGAAAAACGATTTTATGAGAGGTGCCTCAAAGGCTAGTTCTTTTTCTCAGGTTGATCCTTTTATTAAATTCGGGATTTATCAAAGTTATCTTATTAAATTTGGGAATTTAACAAGCTATCAAAATTTCTCCATACATTTTCCGTATGGCACTCGTTTTGGAATTGAGAAAGGAGTTTAATATAGGTTTATAGAGGTGGTAATTTTAGGGTCGAGTAACAAAAAGAGGAGCGAGAAGTAATGTTCGATTTAGAAATAATGGTTTGATGAAAAGGAAGACTAGTGGCTTTGGCCGATTGAGGAATACATCTCGGAAACCACAAGTGACAAGTGAAGAGCTGGATCGAGAACTGGATGCTTATATGCGCGGTTCTAAACATCCAAAAGTTTCAGCTCCATAAACGGGAAAATGTGAATGCAGTGTTCTTTTTTCTTGGATGAGTGTTCTGTTTGCTATAATTGGACATATTTTGATTATAATTTAACATTATCAAGCATCATATGAGAGCGATATAATTGTTTACATAAAATACGTAAGATCTCGTATGTTTAATTTTGTTATTGTATCAGTGATTCCAATAACAAATTTCTAGAATTATACGCTGTATTAATAATAATCGTTCTTGAGCATTACATTTTCATATTTTTTATTTAATTGTTTAAGTAATCATGGAAGGTGGAAAAACTTATTTTTTACAATGCTGAGGGGAGAGAAAATTCCTGAAGCTGACGCGGAAAAAAGAATGAATTGATTAATTGTATTGTATTGTTGGTGCAACGATGATGATTTTTCATTTAAATAAAATTCTGAATCTTCATTGCATTTCTACTTCTGTTAGCCCAGAGGGAGTTCGCGGTTTTGCAATTCATACTTTTAACAATTTTCTGGGAGTTTAGATATTATTTTTTTGGAGAATATACGGAATAAGCTGCGAAAAATGACCAAATCTAATTTTGCTTTACAGCGAGATGAGGATGCCTTTAATTATGATGTTCAAATTGTACGGGGTAATGAATCTTTTTACGAGCAATATTTTCACGCAGAGTCAGCAGCTTGAAGTTTCACTATGAAGCCGAGTATGGGCACAACATATTCGGCTTTTTTTCATAGGCGCTTTATTATTCTTTTGCGAATTTGTAGGAGTTTTATATCCGTTTCCGGTAATAAAACTATACAGGTCTTTTGTATATCTCTCATGCTTTCTCAAATCCACCTGTTAGCATATTCATTAGCCACTCTTTACGTGATAGTTTTTTTTTCACTCTTCGTTCCTCAGATTTTCCTCTGCACATTTCTCCTCGGATCTTAATAGTAAAGATGGAAAAAACTCGTTTGATGAAAAAGTAAAAAATGATAGGAACGAATTGGTCCATTAATTTCGATATCCATTTATTTTTCCAACATGTCTGTAGTTTTATGTGCAAATGAAACGCTCTTTTTAGGGACTTTCAGTGAAATTTTTTCAAGTAAATTGAGGTCTAAAGTTTCATAGTTAACTGTCGCAAATATTTTTCCTCCTTTAGACTACAAATTTACACATATTTGTTCTCTGAAACCGGCATATAAGTTAAGATGCTTATATCATTGGCGGTAAAGAACTGTCTGAGCTTGTATTTGAATAATATGATTTCATTCAAAAACTTCAGAATTTTTAAACTTTCAACAAATTATGATACTATTCTATGCGAACTATTTTATTTAATACGTTTAACTTGAAGAATTCCGTAATGTTTTTGATGTCACTGAAATTTTCCTTCGAAACGGATTTATAAAATAAGTCGATAGAAGAAATGTGTCTACTGAATAAATAGTGTTATCAGGATGAAAATAAATGAAAAACAATGAAATTTAAAATAAAGGCATCATTCTTTTAATGTCAAAATTTGTTCATCACTTTCAAATTAGGAAAAATTTCCATATGAAGCATATATGTCACGATGAGAGAAACATTATCGAACATTGCAAACTTCATTGAGCCAAGCAAATGACTCTCTAAATGTCGAAATTAGCATGTGTCAATAAAGAATCATCGTGTCAAAGTAAAAACGAATCTGAATAGGATGTAAATCAAACGGAGGAAATGATCAGTGAGAACTTGAATACTGAACCAATGATCTTGTAGTTCACACCTTGCGATCTTCAGTAGTCAGAAATATAGATCACTTAGATCAATAAAAGTCAGTCTTAAATATCCGGAAAGATGGCGACAATTCTTTCCTCTGTAACAGCGATGCATTCAAATTGAAATTAAATTCACTCAATTTATTCCAGCGTCTGACAGAATGCATTTTATTATTGTTCATTACAATTTCATCAGTCTAAATTTTCCCTCAACCGATTTCTGGTTCATGCAATGCGTAAGCATATATTAATTATCTCATTTAATCTCTCTATTTTTGAAATAAACAATTTAAAATCAAATTTTATTGATTTTCATGTTTGACACAGTGTTGCATTTCTTACAAATAATTGTAAACATGAAGAAATAATCTGAAAATGATAAAAATTTATACCACAAGAATGCAAATAAAATAAAATTAGAAAGAAGAGAAAGCAATATAAGATATACTATAATATTTAGTGATGAAAATGCAATTACTCAATTTAATGGTGAAATTGCTAAGTTGAATTTTTTTATGGTGCTTATAATAGTCTTAGAAAAAAAAAATTTAAAATCTGACCCATCAACCTGATTTCCATACTTTACCAAGTCCAGCTCCAGCGGCAAAAAAGAATATAATCATTAAAGGCATGAATATGCACATTAGGACAATTGCTTCAATTGACCAGCCATATTTATCTGTTTATTTTAAAAATTAGCAAGAGTTTGAAAAGCTGTATATATTTTTTTCTTCGGAAAATTTCCTTGTCCACAATTTAATTTGTAATAAAAAAAAAAGATTCATTCATCTCGCATAATTTAAACAATAACAATAACATATATGTGGGCCTAAAAATATTCCTAAGAATTGCTCTTAACTTATCCACGAATCGGCCACTCTAAAATTGGTCTTATAAAGGAATACTCTGGCATTAAGTGACCACATTGACATCTCAGAATTCATAAATTAAAATGTATTCACTTGAATGAATCTCTTTTTTCTCTTCCTCTTTATCGGCTATTTGTTCAACTGCAAACGAATGAATTTATTACATAATTATTGCAAAAAAAAAACAAAAAAAGCAAAAATTTTTCTACGTTGATATTTTTTTATTGAACAATAATTAATTAAAATATTGGAAATATTAATTTTTAGTTTAAATTTGAATCAAATGAACAGTTAAAGCTATCTTTATATCAATTTCGCAAAAATAACAATTTCAATTAAGAATAACAAAACATTGGAGATTCACTGAACTATGAAGGATAGATATAATTATTCAAATTATTTTGTCGAATAGTAGTTTGGCAAGGGTGAAAGATAATATCAATAGCATAATTGATTGTATTATCAATCATAATAATCACATTTACAAACAAATGCATTATTAACCAATCAATCAAATTCCCACCAATATTCTCCGTTTTTTTTTCCTCAGGCGGTAAGGCAATATTTACCGGTGGTCCGATTGCTTCATATGAATTACCCATCCTTTTTAGCTATTTCCACTTCTATTGCAAACTAAAATCTTTAGAAATTTCGAGTTTTTTTTTTAAACTACAAAGATGAAATTTGACTTTTTTGCAAAAAGCAGCTTTAAAAGATTTGAAAAGCAAAGAATCTGATGAATTCATCTCATCCCAAATTATCAAACGAGCATTATTAATGCTAATCTTTTTTTTCATCTAATGTTTCTGTGAGCATATGAAAATTGTTACTATTGTTTGGTTGATAAATTCGAATTTGAAGGTTTTTTTTTTGAAATAAAATTAGTGAAAATTACATCCCAAATGTACGCTCAGATGTAAAAGTAAATAATGAATGTTAGTTTTGCTGGAACCGGACTGGAAATGGTACAAAAACAAAAATGTGTTGCGCACAAAAATTTACCCATTTTATACCCTTATTATCAATTAAAAAATTACGCTTTTTATCACGAACATTTTGTTGGAAAACAGTTATCATTCACGAAATGTTGCAAAAATTTAATGAAAACTTTTGAGAATTAAATTGATTTTCAATTTAACTTAACCTACTTAATTTTTATTCAAAAAAGACAATTGCTTGATAATTTGGAAGTAAAAGAATTCTTTTTTCTTTCAATTTTTTATATTGTAAGCAAAGAGGAAAAGATAAAATAGTAAATTTGAAATTTGCTAAGTGATACTAAGTAGTAGTGATAAAAATACTTCATCATTTTAACAGTTTAAATATTCAAATTAATTTGCTGCTCATTCTATTGGTTTATCACATACATTTAGCATTGTGTTTGGAAACTGGAATTAATCGATTATCGACCTTATCAATAATCTTTACAATTTTATTAAACTTCATCATAATTCTGTGTTATTTAGCAAAAAAAAATTTTGCCATGTTTTTTTAAATTCAGTCTTGTCGAATATAAAATATGAATGTTATAAAACCTTAATTTTTTGAAATATTGAGTAAATGACCAAGTAAACAGAACATTCTAATAATCAGAATCTATTGAAAACGTAAATCAATCGAAAGTTGAAAATCCTCACAAAGCATTGTGAATATAATAAGATATCTTTGATTAATTTTTAAAAAATTTGAAATTTTGATTTAATAATGATTTTTTTAACTTTCATAATTTAGTATCTAAAAAAATTCACACTAAATGAATGCGAAAATTTGATATCATATTATTTAAGACATCAATTAATGATGTCACTAATCGATTGTCTCAAATGTTGATAAATTCTCATTTGCAAATATTTTTAAAGTCTGATTGTTTTAATGAATTTAAATAAATTGATACTGCATATTTGCCTCTCGCATATCTCACCGCCTAGTTCGTATTGTTTTTAATTTTTCAAGTTTTTTAAAATTTTATCAAAGTAATATTAGCAACATGTAACACAACTAAACAGTTATATGTTTCCAAATATGTTTATACTTTTTTTTCAAGTTGTGAGGTATCGAAGTAATAAAATGATATATGTCAGGACTTTTTTTAAAAGTAATTGCACAAAATGACCGACACTCTTAAAATCTTAAAGTTCGACTGCTTCATTACTGTCCATATTTTAGGTCTATAGACGGAAAATAATATCGATTGCAACTTTGGAAAGGAACGAATAGAAATTGTAACCTGAAAATTTACTTTGAACTGAAATAGTTGCAAGTTTTACATCAAAGTAAAACTTGTCTTGCATAAAATAAAAGCGCATTTGTAATTATTATATGCACCAGATTGGAGCATATAATCTCTTCAATTATCAATTTAAATTCAAAGTTGACCTTAGAGTGTTCATTGATCGGAAAAAATTTTGTGCTTTCATCATTGAACATTGAACATTTTATACGATGGTAGAAAAAATTTTCATTAGCGAATAAATATTGCGCGCAGAATGATTGCAGAGAAAAAAGAAATTGAATCGCAATTGCGGGGAAGTATCCCATTTCAAAAATGGAATGTGCAAATTCTGAAGGAGGAAGTGTGGAGAGATTTATTAATATGTGATTGATGTTGTCAAATCGGAAAAATAGTTATATGGATTTCCGTCCTGAATATTCCACAAATTCAAAATGGCGATTGAAAAAGATATCGATATGTTCATTTCAATGAACGGTATTATAATTTTATAAGGAATTTATGCAACGATTATCTGATAAGCAGATCTAATCAAACATTTGTCAGATTTATTAATCAAATAATTTTGTTGTGATAAATTTAATACTACATTTAAAAAAATCTCAAATTGTTTAATTATAACAAGCGCAGCTATGTTAATTACTTTATACTAGTATCTGAAAATAACAATATATCATTATTTCAATAAGCTATTGATTTAATAATTTTATAGAATATTTAAAAAGTATTCCATAAATAGCATTAAATTTGATTTTAATATTTGATAACTTTCGTCACTTTGATTTCTTTTAAATTGAAATTGTTTCGAGCATACTCGCAACAAATTTTTATTCATTTTCTCCCTTCAAATTTCCTCCATTGATTTTGCTACCTATGACCTTTTGTAAGAAATGATACTTTTGCTTTTATTAAATGCATCCTTCCACTCTATTCATCATTCTGAATAACTAAAAATATTTACACTTAAGAAATTTTAGACCAAAATGGATTAAAATATGAAAAAATGATAACATGACATTGAGTTCATTGTAATTGAAAGTTTAAGTATGATTAAATAAAATTTGTCAAAAAGACATTTTATGAGGAAGATGAATTTTAAAATTGAGAGGTAGAATTGAAGTAAAATCATCTAAAGGTTCAAAAGTGCGAATGAACAAACCATAAGAAGACTGATACTGATAGTGTAGCAATAGCTGGACATTGGTCATTTTAAAATGTCCACTACTGAAAGCGAATTATTCATCGCAAAATGGATAACAATCAGTACATTCAATTTTTGAATAACAAAAATTTTTTGTAGTATCTTAAAAAAATTTTAAAAACTTTAACTATTAAAGGCACTCATTGAGTTTCCTGTTGATTAAAGTAGAGAGAAGCAAAATTTTAGGCGAAAATGGATAATGGATATTAATTATAATTTGAAAATGCAATTTCAAAATTAAAGAAATTTTTCAAATAAAAGTACGCCAACAATAAACAGTAACTTTGCTGAAAAATAATAGAATTTTGTTTGCAAAATTCCCACGAAATTTTCCAATTCTTAATTGGTTTTCGATAACAAACATTTGACGATAGAGAGGGAGAGAGAGAGGGAGAGAGAGAGAGAGAGAGAGAGAGAGAGGTATGTATCACGTAATATCTAAGAGATAGAGCAGCAGTATTGATATGATGGAAATTATCCTTACCGCAGTGGCACCAATCAAGAAAATCATATTTGAGGAAGTGAAAGTTGCATTGTTTTGAGATAGTATCATCATTTCCATCCAGAAAGAAGTATTTATCAAAACCATAAACAGGCCGAGGTGAACGAGGAAGAAAAGAAAAAGTCGGGTCAATTACCCTGCGGCAACCTTACCCCTCTCCATCCACTATCCAGCCCCGTCGAAACAGTTCCACGGTCAGCACTGGATTGACTGAAGTCTTCATATAAAAGGAACTATCCGTGTTGAGATATTTTGAAGCATCGGCAATAATACCACATATCCATCTGTTTCATTTAAATTATGGCAAAATTTCTCTTCTCAAATTGTTTACTTTTATTGTTACTGATATTACTCCTTGCTCATCCGATTAGTGCCATTCCAATTGATAACGGTATTGAAGGCGAACCTGAGATCGAATGTGGCCCAACATCAATTACTGTTAATTTCAATACAAAAAATCCATTCGAAGGTTTTTTTTTTTAAAATATCCTGTACTTTTAAAAATTGTATTTAAAATTTTTTTCTAAAATTAAATTATAGAATTTCTTGCAATTCAAATCCTCGAAGACATAGGTCTATTTATTTTATACTTTCCTTTTTCTATTCATAAAATATTCATATATTTTCTTTTAACCACCATTTTCTTATTTGTCTTTTCCTGATGCTTATAATAAGTTTAAAGAAGGATCCAAACACGATTAAATAAAATATCTGATTCGATTTTAACTAAATTGATTCAATTAAAAACATCAAGAAATTCACTTAAAAGAAGCTTGATTGTTGTTCATTGAATTAAAAGTTACTAGTTCATTTTAAAAATTAGTCGAAATGCTCTCAATTGGTTTATTCAAAATTAAACAAAAATAACATAGTTAGTTAATTCAGCTTTTATTAAATGAAATTGAAATTCAAAAGTCTTCAAGAAGAGTAAACTTCCGCCAATTTTTTTGATTTATGTTGGATTTAGATGAGAAGTACTTTGAAATGTAATGCATTTGAAGACCGATACCAATTAACATTGAATTATTTGAGTTATGAACATTTTAACCTAATTTGTCGAAGATAACAAAGAATCACTTATTTAATTTTCATAACGTAAAAATATTTAAATTTCTTTTTTTTGCTATTCATACAAGCAATTAAAATTTCTTTTAATAATTATATGCATCAACAAAAAACCGCTGTTATTTAGAGCATATTGAGCTGCTGTTATTTAGGACATGTTTATGTGAAAGGCCTGTATGAGCAGGACGAGTGTCGATCGGATGAAAATGGTCGTCAGGTAACAGGAATTGAAATTTCATTTGATACCTGTAATGTGGCACGGACAAGATCGTTGAATCCACGTGGTGTCTTCGTTACAACCACTGTTGTCGCCTCATTTCATCCATTTTTTATCACCAAAATTGATCGTGCTTATCGTGTACAATGCTTTTATATGGAAGCTGATAAAACAGTGAGCACCCAAATTGAAGTCTCTGAAATGACCACAGGCTTTCAGACTCAAGTGGTTCCAATGCCAATTTGTCGATATGAGGTCATTTGCTGATTTATTCTTTTTTTTTTTCATTCTTAATTAATATAATTATAATACAGTTAAAAGTCGAAAAAAAGAAAATGGAAATTTGTTAGGAATAGATCTATCTCCTTTCATCTTAAGTTAATCAATTGAAAGTAAAAGATTTTTTTCTTTTAGAAAGATCAATTTCTCTTTCAATTCTCACATTTCAATTCATTCTACTTTTCCTTTTTTTCAGATTATGCTTTTTTCCTTTTTATATTTTTTTATTTTTTTGA